ACCTTCTTAGGCCCTCCCACGCATCTGTCGCAGCCGGGCGTTGAAGTGGTTGAAGATGGATCTGCCAAGGGCCACTCGCGGTAGGCCTCTTGGTGGCTCTCCCCGACAGATGTACCAGTGGCTTGGCCGAAGTTATGTTCGCCTCCATCGATGAGCTCCTGGACACACAAAAAATGGTCACACAGATGAGAACGTGAGAATGACTTCATGTGTACATGCTCTCTCTTGACTCGCTTACCTGCTGCCCACGCAAACCGAAAGAAATTCTTTCAGGATATAAGATGTAGACAGCGATATCCACTGCAGACAAACAGACAGAGACACAAGGGCAGATCACTTGATGCCTTTCTGTACCGTCCGCCTGCATCAAGATGCAACACAACAACGCGAGGAAGAAGAATCCGAATTGGCCGTTCTGTTATGTCAATTCGTGTGGGAATCGACGGCCACCTGCGCCACCGGCACTCGGGCCTTGGTGGCTGTCGTGCGTGTGGAAGATCATGATTCTGCACACAGACAGAGAAGTGGGAAGAGTTGCAGACACATCAATGGCAATTGTGTGCATGTTCCCGAGCAGCATGATGTATGCTCACCTGATGATAATGGTCAAGCCATCGCAGCAGCACAGCGGTATGGGGCTCTCGACTCCCTCGCTCTCTTAAATGACACCGGCAGCTCCTCCGAGTGAACGTCGAGCCACTGCAGGCACACGACACAACACAAGAGGCAATAGGTATGGATGGAAGAGTGTGTGAGCGGATGGTCTGTGTGTGTGCGCGTACATCGAGAAGGCCACAGAACTGTGTGTATTTCTGGGTCGTCTCCTCTCGCGATATAAAATGTAAACAACGATATCACTGCAGACAATCAGACAGACGGAGACACGAGGCCGGGATCACTTCTTTCTGTGTGCTTACGTACTGCACACTCCATGCCACTGGTGCTGCTCGCGGTGGCGCTGGCGGGGTGGTGATGGTGCCGCCCAGCTGTGGGCCCTTCTCGCCCGTGTCCTCGCCGCACACGTGCTCCCCCTTGCCCTGCTGGTCGTCTGTGGCGTCAGCGGACGGCTGCACGACAACAGACTCACCTACAAACAACCAGAACAGAAGAACCACACACGTGTCAGATGCAGGCAGGTAAGCAAATGTCATTCGTGCCTGGTCTTGCCGGCTCACCGTCGGCGGGGGGCTGAGGGCCGATGAGCTCCCGAATGCTCCGGAAAGCCCTGTCCTCTCCCCAGCCTCGTCGACAACAGAACTAGCCATAGCCCCCACACCACTGCTACTGCGGCCGCCCTGCTCTCCTACGTCGCCCATGCGGCCCGCGTCCTCCTTGGCCTGCCTTGACTCGTCCTTCTCGGCCACGTCTGTCTTGCCTGGGTCTCCCCCGCGCTGCTCTGAGTCTTCCGACTCGGCGGGTGACGGTGCGATGCTGCTCTGGGTCGGCGATGGCGGCGGGAAGTCTCATCGGGGCTGCTGGACTGGTGCCGTGGTCGTCTTGCCCCTGGTGGCAAAGTTGGCGGCGGCCGGCTCGCTGATGAGATCCTCCACTGCGATGGTATCGGCCGGCTCGCCAAATAAGTCCTCCACCGCGATGGTATCCTCCTGACCCTCTTCCCCCTCGACAATCCTGTCGCACTCCTTCCGGGCACCGGCGCCCATAGCACAGGCAGCTTTCATCATGTTCTTGCAGCAGCGGCGGCAGTAGTTCATCCTTCTTCCTCTGTGGTAGGGGTAGCCGTGGCGTGCGGGCCCTCAGGGGCGCCGGGCGGGCTGGCGGGGACGGGATAGTGCCTCGGCAGCCCCTGGCTGGGCACTGGAGCCGGCGGGTGGATGAGAGGAGGTGCCGGCCATCCAGCCACGTAATGTTGACCTTGTTGAGCGTGAGACGGGTGCATGTGTTGATAGCAGGCGTGTGGCGGCGCCATCTCGCTGTTCTCACACTCGAATCGCAGAAAGGGAAAACTGATCAAACACCAATGGCAAGGAAGACACTGCATCACGTGTGTGTAGATTCAAATGGCCATGTGGTGCTGCCTTACATGTGGCGCCATCCGTCTCGTATCGGCGCGGCTCACGCGGCCCTTGGTGCTCTCACTCGTGCTGACCTCACTGTCCGACACGAACACACCGCACTCCCGGATGTACTGCACCAATGCACACACACATACAAAAGAGAGACACGTGGTGAATGGCTTCTGCTGCGGTGAGTGCAGGCGCTCACATGTCGTGGTGCCGGTGATGTCATCGCGATGATCTCCTTTATTGCCAGCGAATCGAAGGCATTGAGTAGGTCCTCCCGTATCACCACATTGCCGACACAAAGTCGGCTCGACACGGCCACCATGTCGCCCATCTCCATTACCTTGGGCCACTCCTTGACGTCGTCGAGCGGCGTGAATCGCACGCTCCCCTGCACCACTAGTGTCAGCGCCCGCATCAAATCGTGGCCAAACACCGCGATCAGGAGTGTCAGCTTCTCCTCCAGCTCCTTCTCGTCAATGGCCTCGGGCCAAAGATCACATCCACCACATGGACTGACATAAGAGAGAAAGGTGCGACACATGGACGGTTTCAATGTGTATGGGTGTCTCTGTCTGTCTGTCTGTCTGTCTGTCTCTCTGTCCGCCCGCTTGATGAGTACAACTACATGCTCTATGTCAACACACGCATACAGACGGGTTTGGTGTGATGTGTGACGTGTCGTGGCCTGCTTACCGTCTCGTCGATATTCCTGTAGGTGTTTGGGCCGATAGGGGTTGGCTTCGAGTCCGCAACAGCCAAACACCAACAAAGGAAGACACTGGCCGAAGGAGAAACTCCGTGGCTCTCATGCAGCCGGTGCAGGTCCGGTCGAGGCACGACGGGTCGATGGTGCAGGTGTACTGACGGCGATATCTAGTGCAAAGACAAACAGACAGAGACACAAGGGCAGATCACCTGGAAGGTTTTCTGTACCGTGCATTCAGACCTGCCATGCATTCATCAGAGCTGGGAAATATGCGGGGCCTGCGGGAAAGAAGTCCTCTCGCGATATAAAATGTAGACAGCGATATCCACTGCAGACAAACAGACACACAGAGACATAAGGCCAGATCACCTGGAAGCTTTGTGTGTTCTGCGTACCTGCTTTTCTTCAACCCGCACACCCACTCAGAATACGACGACACCACCGTACCCACCAACCCCCCCAACCTCCCCACCTTCTTGTGTATGTATGTGAAGCCTGTCTGCCCTTCTGGCTGCTTAAAAAACTTGCACCCAGCCATCGATACATCAATCCATCCGGAAAAACAGTCGCACACACACTCTCACACCCCCACACACTCCGCCACCCATATATGTATTCGACACACACATCGACCATCTCGCTCCCCTCCCCCTCCCTCATTCAGCAGCAGCACCACTACCACATGCACTTCCACCACCGTCGGCCTTCCGCGGCTGTTCCCTCCTGCTCCTCGCCTCCTCCACCAGCTGCCGGAGGCTGAGCTGTGAAGCCTCCTCCGCCCTCGCCACCAGCTGGTCTATCTCCAGCCGCTTGGACTCATCCGGGTCCATGCCACCCTGAATGAGTCGGGCGGCCAGGGACAGGTCCCGTACGGCCCTCTCCCCCCACTGCTCTTCGTGTGCAGACAGACAGACAGACAGACGAACAGACAGACAGACTGACAGACTAACATGGGCACAGTGAAAAGACGACGGAAAAAACAAAGCACAAGACCCAACATCATCCCACACAGGCAGCCATCCATCCATTCAGGCATCCATCCACACACAGGCAGCAATCCACTCACTCACTCAGGCAGGGTCAGCGAGGGATTCGACGCCCTCGTCGTTCTCGCACTCTCCCTCTCCCTCTGTGTCTCTGTCGATGAGGCCTCCTCCCGCCTGGCATCGGCCGCCGTCTCCTCCCGCGACTCGGCCTCGGGGTCGGGCACCAGGGTGGCCTTGCCGTTGACCATGCGCAAACCCCTAACTGAACAACACAGCCGCCAGACAAACACCAGGAACACTTGGGCAATGATGAGCGGATGTTTCTTCATCCTGTGCCCGTTCTCACTTAGATGCTGCTGGTCATCGAAGTCTCCCTGGCGCTTCTCCTCGGCACTCAGGCCCGGCTGCACATGCAGAACCTTCTTCAGGCCCTCCCACGCATCTGTCGCAGCCGGGCGTCGAAGTGGTTGAAGATGGATCTGCCAAGGGCCACTCCACTTGAAGTTTTTGATGTCGTAGCATTTGGAGCAGGTGGCCTTGACCGTCTCGTTGTCAGGCACCAACGTCGCCACGGAGAACTGCTCCCTGCACATCACACACAGACACAGACCCATCGGGGGCCATGACGGACGCAATGTGTGTATCTCTGCCCACTTCAGGACTACATCTACGTGCTCGGTGCCGTTCGGGCCACTTTGGTCCTTGACCTGCTTCCGCAACATGTTGATGACGAAACCCGCCGCCTGCTCCCCCTGGTTGAATGCCGTGTCGTCGGAGGAGACGCCGTTCTCGTCAGCCGGCCACATGTGGATGCCGTGGGTGTGGTGTTGTCCCTGCCAGTGAGCTCCTAATGTACACACCCACACACATGAAGTACGCAGCACGCGGGCAAGGTGAGTGTTGGTCATGCCGTAACTTACGAAGCTGAAGACGCGAACGGGTATGCCGGTGAGTTTCCACGTCATGTAGCACAGAGCGGCTCGTCCGCGTACTCGTCTGATAAACTACACAAACACCCCATTCGTGAGTGCCTGGGTTGGCGTCCCACCCCCGTCTCCTTCATTCCCTCCCTCACTTCGTTTTTCCACCACCTCTTGACTCAACGACCTGGCGAAGGCCGCAACTGACCAAGAAACATACACACACACACATACAAAGCAGTACAGCAATGTGGGAACACAAGCAGCGGCTCCCGTCAGCCCGTGTGCCTTCTTCCTTACCCTTGGGTCGCGGATTGAGGTATTTGTCGCGGACCTGCTGTGGGGTGAGCTTCTTCTTCTCGACCTCCGCAGTGAACTCAGCGGCTGAGGGTACACACACACACACACACACACACACGCAGAGAGAGAGAGAGAGAGGGAGAGAGAGAGAGAATACACAGTCACTCATCCCGCTTCCCCTCCTCTTCGTTTTCCCCGACCCTTTTTCGCTACTATGTCGCGTTTGCATATCTTGATGACCTATGTCCGGCTCAGCTTCGATTTCTTGACATGGACGTATAGAAAGTAGATGAAGGCATAGAGAACGGCGGTTGATAGTCTGATGAGTTCCCTATGCCTATCAATATCCCAATCGTTACATACAACCTGGGAAGCCACACACACAGAGTGGAGACATAGCCGTGCTTTTTGTGTTCGTCTCCTTTGTGCTGGGGCTTACTTGACCTGTGACATTTTTGGATGGCCTTCTTGGTCAACCCCTCCAGCTCACCGACTGAGTATGCGCACACAGAGAGAATACACAGCTGCAACCCTCCCTCCTTCCCTCCCTCCCTCCCATGTGCGGCTGTTTGTGTACCTTCTTTGGCGGCTGCCTCGTCGCTGTACTCCTGGATGAGCTGGTCCATGGTCAGGCTTGCCACCTGAGACTCCATGGCGGCACACATGGTCCTCCAAGCAGTCGGCCACTGTCTTCGAGAACGGCTGTGCGTTCAGCAGTGCTGAGCGACTGTGTTCATGTTGTCGACTAGGCCCAGCGAAATCAGCTTGCAGAAGCCTCTGACTGAGCAGCACAACAGAGAGTAAGAGGCTGAAAAGCAGACAAACGAGAGAGATTTCGAGCGGCGCGAGGGAAGCGAATGACGGTGTCGTCTGCCAGAACAAAGCTAACACGACACTCCTTAGTACCGTCTACCGTCCCGTCGCGCATGTGCGTGTCTTCTGGTTGGCGCAACCTCTCGGCCAGCTGCAAGACACAAAGACAAACTACTTAATCCATCGGTTCCTATGTCTTTTTTCCTCATTTTCTTTTTCTTTTTGTCGGATCAAGGGGTCGCATGTCTGAACAGCAGCGAACGAAGACAATGAAGTGTGCAGTGAACACCAGACTCAATAAGGCACGTCCCAACCTCCTGACAAATGCGTCGAGAAAAGGAGACGGCGGAAACGGACCGTGTCGTCTGCAGACAAACATGGCAAAAGGAGGCACATGAGCATACGCACAGCAACACAATACGTCATACATTCGCCCCTATACATCATCCATACACCACTCCATTTCCACAGCCAAGAGACACAACGCATAAGGTGTACCTGATGGAGGCCTCATGAGGCGAAAGAAAGGTGCGCGGGCCCTCTGCTGACATCAGGCAGGCGCCAGGCAGGCCCCAGTCGCTTGGAAAAGGCGAGGCGCCACCTGCTGAGACGTTGCCCGGGGCACGGCGGCGGAGGAAGGAAGACACGGGGGACATCCGGACAAGTTGGGAGGCATGGGAGGGGATGAGGCGCGTTGAACAAGCCAACAACCATGCGAAAACAAGATAGAATGAAGGATCTGTGGCTGTGGGAAGGCTGGAAAGCCGAACGCGGCCGGAAATTGCAGAAACCGTCTTCAAATTTCATCGGTCTGTCGCCGTCTCATCGCGAAACTATTGTCGCGAAAAATCTCGCCGCACACGCATTTCGAAGGGGAAACGAAAACGACGGAAGGAACTTTGAAAGCATGAAAAGCCTTCAAGCCCCACAGTCGCTGCCCCCCGTCTCGCCCTCGTGTTTGACGGCGAAGCCTAGGGCGCTTTCGTCGTTTGCTCAATGAAGTTCATCCAGGCAGCTGCCGGCAGCTTTGTGGCGCTTCTGTGTCTGGCTCCTTTGAGCCAGGCCTTCTTGCTGAGGCCACAGAGGGCACCCCTCGCATCCACCCGCCCATCCCACCATGTGCGCTACGGGCACGGCGTGCAGTGCACGAGGCTGGGTCTGTGGATGGCGGACCGAGTGCCATTCATCGGCGGCAACTGGAAGTGCAATGGCACCAAGAAGTCAGTGGCAGATCTGGTCAAACTCCTCAACGAAGGTGGCAACTTCCCTGACAAAGTGGAGGTGGGCGATGAGATGCAGGCAATAAGCCGCTTCCATTGTGGTCTGTCCGTATCAGGTTGTGGTGGCTCCTCCCGCCTTGCACGTCGGCTACGTGCAGGACAGCATTCGCAAGGACATATCGGTCTCAACGCAGAACGTGGGTCTGCCCAAGGCATACGGCGCCTACACGGGCGAGCTGTCAGGCAATATGATCAAGGTGCGGGAGGAAAGCGAGCCGTCATACATACGGTCAATCTTCACCCTCCCGCTCTATCTACAGGATTTCGGTGTGAATTGGTGCATTACGGGTCACAGCGAGCGACGGGAAGGATTCGGGATGGCGGTGAGACAACTGAAAATTCGCTTCCTGGCTCGGAAGCCGCAGTGGGTTGTCTCTCTGTGTGGCCGTGCAGGGCGAGTCGAGTGAGCTGGTGGCTAAGAAGACCAAGGCTGCCCTCGAGCAGGGGCTGAAGGTCATCCCGTGTGTGGGTGAAAAGAAGGAGGAGAGGGAGGCCGGCAAGACCATGGACGTCATCAGCGAACAAATGAAGGTCCGCAGCAGAGAATGGGGTGCCGCATTGCGTTTTGCACGGTTCTTCGTGTGATCTCTCTGTGTTGCAGGCATTGGTGGCTGAGCTGTCGCCCTCTGACTGGTCGAATGTGGTGGTTGCGTACGAGCCCGTGTGGGCCATCGGCACCGGACTCACCGCAACACCACAACAAGCACAAGACACACAAGCAGGTCATTTCGAAAGAGAGAGAGAATACGAGGAGGGAATGCGCATCGAGCTGTGCTCTCTTGCCTCTGATCCATTCGTTCAGACATCCGCAAGTGGATGGCAGACAACATCTCCCCCGAGGTGGCGGCCAGCACCCGCATCATCTACGGAGGGTCGGTCAAGGCAGGAAATGCGGCGGTGAGGACAGCTGGAGCAGCCACAGCGACAGACGTAGGCTCACACTGATGTCCATTGTTTGCTTCTGCAGGAGTTGTTTGCCGAGCCTGACATCGACGGCTTCTTGGTGGGCGGTGCGTCACTCACTAGTGACTTCATCGCTATCATCAACGCGTCGACCACGCCCAAGAAGGCGTGATGAGTGACTGACCCTCCTGCCCTGCAATGCGAGGGCCACTGCAATGAGGGGATTCTTCGTGGTGGGGGTTCATAGCTCGTGTGCGTGTGGTTTTGAGGGATTTTTGACAGATCATGGTACCTGAGGAGTGCACAGTGGACAGGCCAATCGATTGAATGCACCATGTGTGTGTCTCTCTGTCCATCCATCCATCTATCCAATCCATCCATCCATCAACATGACTACAACACACATTCGTTCGCCGCCCGTCCGTGCACCTGTCATGGTATGGGAAGACATGCATTGGACTAGGCATTACACGCAGCTAAGCATCACATGCCACCGATCCATCAGCTCCCAAACCCTCCCCTCGACGGGAGCAGGGTTTTAGAAACCCTGAACCCCAGCGGAAGCTCGAGTGCTCAGCATTCACGCGCCTTTGCTGGTGGCAGTTTCGAATCCGCATCGCTTCTGCTAGGCAGTCTGCCGTGCAGACCTTGCTGAATCCGCTTTCAGTGGATCTGCCCATCGCTGATGGCTGACAGCGAGTCGCCTCTGTATCTTGGGCTGGATCTCAGCACACAGTCACTCAAAGCAGTCGTTATACGACAGGTGAATGAATGCCCATCCAAGCCGACTCATGTCAAGCACGTGCCGTTTGCCTGTTTGCCCTCTGCAGGACACACTCGAGGTGGTGTGCAGCGCCCGCGTTGGCTTCGATGAGGATCTGCCGCACCACCGCACTGTCAATGGCGTCCATCTTGGCAATGAGGGCGAGGCGACATCGCCGCCGCTGATGTGGGTGGAGGCCATGGAGCTGGTGCTCGACAGACTCACAGAACAGCAGTGCCCTTTCCAACGCATCGGTACGTGCAGACCAGTCTGCGGCTCAGATTGACTTCTTCGTATGTACGCGCGTGTGTGCGCGCATGTGGTCGTGTCGCCAGTTGGTGTGTCTGGGTCGGGCCAGCAGCATGGGACTGTTTATTGGGCCAAGGGGGGAGAGCAGGCGCTCAAGGCGCTCGACAAGCAGCAGCAGAGCCTCACAAACCATTTTCGAAGGGCTTTTGCACTGGATGCGTCGCCCATCTGGATGGACACATCCACTTCTGGTGAGAAAACATCCGCACAATGGACATGTTTCCCTCCATCCACATGATCTCGATCTACCTTCCCTCTGCTGCAGCTGAGTGTCAGGCGATGGAGAATTCCATCGGCGGCCCTCTTGCACTGGCCGGCCTGACGGGCTCTCGAGCGTACGAGCGATTTTCAGCGCACCAGATACTGCGGCGTTTCAAGAGAGACTCTTCCTTAAGGCATCGCTGTGAACGGATCTCTCTAGTCTCATCCTTCGCCTGCTCACTGCTCGCCGGCAAATATGTCGATGTCGACTTTGCCGACGCATCAGGTACATGAGGAGCTGCGGAGAGGGTGCTGGAACGGGTGTGCTTTGCCCTCACTGCAGGGATGAACCTGATGGACATCAAGTCCCACCAGTGGCACCCATCCCTCGTGTCGTTCCTCGCCCAGTCCATCGGCACCGACCCGGCCCACCTGTCCGCCCTCCTCGGTGCATCCCCCACGCCCTCCTGGTCCGTCTGCTCAGTCATCGCCCCGCACTATGTGCACAAGTATGGCTTTGATCCGGGCTGTGAAGTGGTGGCCTGGTCGGGTGACAACCCCAACTCCATCGTGGGTCTGGGGCTGCTCAAGGAGGGCGATATGGCGGTGTCGCTCGGCACGTCAGACACTCTGCTGGCGGTCGTCAGAGAGCCCAAGGTGAAGGAAGCCGGTCTATGCATTGTCTGGCATTCGCTCATTCATTCATTGTGCGGATGTGGGGTGTCTGCAGGCATTGTCCATTGGTCACGTAATGGTCCATCCAGCGCTAGAGGGCGCGTACTTCATCATGCTGTGCTACTCGAATGGCGATATCACCAGGAAGAGTGTTAGGGATGAATTCGCAAAGTAAGCCGACTCACCCAGAGGCTGTGAATGCAGCCATCCATCCGTCTGTGATGGTGTTTGTCAAGCGGTGATTGGGTCGACTTTGCCCGTCTAGTCGAGAACCATCCGCCCGGCAACAACAGCCACATCGGCGTGTACCTGAGCACCAACGAGTGCACTCCCCCGCTCGACAAGGGCCCTCCGCTGCGCTTCAAGGTGGACGACAGCGGCCACGCAAAGTCGGAGGACCGCTTTCCGAGCCCATGCATGGTACACACTAGGGAGCGCCTGTGCACAATGAGGCCAGCTCATGCCATTGTGCCTCTTCAAGTGCAGGATTGCCGTGCAGTGGTTGAGATGCGTGCCCTGGCGATGCATTCCCACCTGCAGCAGATCGCACCCTCACTCCTCCAGTCAGCAGCGCCCCCCTCCCCCTCTCGCTCATCACCCCGGCTGCTGCTGACTGGTGGGGCCTCATCCAGCCCCGCCATCCGACAGGTCTTTGCAGACGTCTTCCAGCGGCCGGTGACCATCCTCGACCGCCCAGACAGTGCGGCACTCGGCGCGGCGTACAGAGCACTGCATGCGTGTGAGAAGAGGAAGGATGGCGAGCAGTATGGGGAGATTGGTCTGTTTGATCGCATTGGTCGTGCCGGTGAGGTGACGGAGGAGCCGAAAAGGGAGAGCGGGGGCCTGTACCGCATGCTGGCTGGGGCGTATGGTGATGTGGAAGACATGTTGGTCAAGGAGAGGGGCCGAGTGACACAGCAAGAGCAGCGGGACGGCAAGTGACGGTCGTATTGTTGCAGTGCAGACTGGGCTCAGTGTCGTGTTGTGGTGACTGAGCGACGGTTTTGTGCTGTGTCGTGTCTGGATCTCTCACGTGAATTGATTGCTCCTTCGTCCGTCCACTTTCACGAACGCAAGCCAAAAAGAGCGCGCAGCCATTCAGCCATCACTCACTCACCATCCATATCCATCCATCCATCCAGTCAGGTACTGGAGGCCACGCCAGGCAGACAGACACTCAGACATTCATTCAGCCACTCACTCGAACTCCTTCATTCTGCAGACCAAACACAGGGAGAGTGAGAGAGAGAGAGAGAGAGAGAGAGGCGCATTGTGGGTGTACGTGTGGTGTCGCACCTGGTTTTGATGGCGGGCAGCTCCTTGTCGACGGTGTTGATGATCCACGCGCGGATGGCCGGGTCGAGCTCCAGCTCAGCCTCTGCCCATGCCTTGGAGTCCTCGATGTGGTTGGCGAGATTCTTCATCAGCGCCACGTCTTGGTCACGGAGGCAATCCTGAATGATGACGCAATCAAGTGAATGATTAATTGACTGACTGCTTCTTGTTCACTCACCCACTCACTCACTCACTCATGCACTCACCTTGGGGAGGGCGAGCAGTGCTTTGATCTGATTCACATCCACCTGCACAGCGACCAGCGCCTGCTGGTTGGGCGTGGGGATGTGGGCAGGGCAAAGCAGGGAAAGCTCCTCCTCCATCAAACGCTTCAGTTGCTCGTTCTGCATGATTCGCACCACACGACACCGCTGCACACCACAATGCCGGCGTGTTGGACTCGTTTAAACGTTCCGTTTACATGAGCGGAGTGCCGAGTGTTGGTTCCCCGGGTTGGACAGCGAGGGATGCGAAGTGCGGGCGCGGCGTGAACCCTGACGCCAAGAAGAAGGTCGGCCGACAATACGGCCTGCAGATCTCTCCGTGCCTGCGCCCACGTGTGTGTGTTTGTTGGCTCTGTAGGCGGCGGCGAAGGCCACCCGTGGGAAGGCCAACGAGTCGGAGGTGAGTGTGCTGGATAGATACATAGATCTGACACGGACAGATCTGACACAGACAGATCTGACACAGACAGATCTGACACAGACAGATCTGATACAGACAGATCTGGACGGACGGACGGATGGATGGATGGACAAACAAATGCCTTTTCTGTCTGCTGCCTGTATGTGCCTATCTGCTCAGAGCGACGAAGACGAACTCATCATTTATCCCACGGACTCCGACAACGAGGCCCTGGACGACGAAGAGGCGGAGGAATACGACAAGGGCGGGAGGAAGGAGCTGGAGGAGCTCAGGGCCGCCCGAGCGCAGGCCGCCGCCGAACGTGCCGCCGAGAAGGCCCGCAAGGAGGAGACAGAGCGCCGCAAGGAAAGGCGCAAGGCCGCGAAGAAGCGCAAGGCCGAGGACGACGCCTGCCTCCGAGAGGAGCTGGACGGGTTCATTAAGAAGCAGCAGCGGGCCCCCTCGTCCCGGAGTTTGCCTCCCAGGCGGTGCGCGACCACTACGCCCCGTTCAACAAGAAGACCCGCTGCTGAACTACGCACACACACAGACACATGCAGCTAGAGCGGGCGAGCCGGGAGAGGGAGAGGGGAATAGAATAGGCATGAGGGGATAAGTATGATGGATGGGATGTGATTTCTGATGTGTACGGTGTAATTTCGGCACTTGCAACCAACTCTATACACACATACACATAATATACACACATACTCATGGATGGATGGATTGATGGATGGACGAGCACACCGCCTACATACACGACTGTCCACCCCTCTGCAACACAGCGCTGCTGCTATGACAACTGACTGATTTTTTCCCTCGTGTCGAGTTACCTAGCTGACCGGGGCCACCGACCAGCACAAAAAACAACCTTTGGCGTTACTGAACGCCACCATGTGATGCGCATTGACAGGCGGCTGGGCTGGCTGCCTGTATGAATGATGCTTTGGGTGGGTGCGTAGCTTGGGGTGGGTGGACGGTAGGTGTGTGGGGTGGTCAGTCATGTATTCATTGACCAACACGCACACACGCACACACGGACAGGTGTCTGTCCACACACACACAGAAGATGGATGGATGGATGCCACAGGCAGGCAGGCAGGCAGACATATAGACAGTGACGGCCCTTCCTTCCACCATGCGGATGCACGGACAGACAATCTGATCGATATCCACAAACGCTTGCTGGCCAGCTGGCTAGCTCTGATCTCTCGCTCCGTCGCTTGCTCGCCCCAACGCTCCTCCCACTCTCTCTGGCGACAGACGGCCACACACGACAGCACAACCCACCTACATACATCTTGTGTTGGCCTGCCTGCCTGCCTGACTGCTTACTTGGTTGTTTATTGGTGTGTGCTGTCCTCCTTGCCTCCGCCATTGTCCTCTACCGCCATTGGCGCATCCTCTGCGACAATCCATCCACACAACCGGAGGTAGAGAGGGAGGGAGGGAGTTTGTCGAATGCCGATTGCAGACAGACACGTGGATGGATGGATGGATGGATGCTCATACAGCTCATGTAAGGTACGTACCAGTGTTGGCGATGGCAGGGGCATCGTCGTCGTTTTCTGTGTCCGCGTCATGGCTCGTGCTGCCGTCGTCATGTGTGGACACATCACCGCCACCCTCCTTCCCCTCCTCGCTACCGCTCGAGCTGCTCGTGTCGTCGTCGTCGTATTCTAGCCCCGCCACCAGATACATCCACCGGGGGAAAACTGCACACACAGACACATGGGTCCATGTTGCAACACGTTTCGTGCCCTCCTGTCTGTCGATTCATTCCTGGGTGCGTACATGCGGCCGACTGAGGGTACATTTGCGAGAACCGAAGCTCGTCATCCGCAACAGACGCCCTCGGCTCTGTCGTGACCGCCAGCACGTTCACTGCACACACACACACAGACACACGGAGACAGACAGGCAGAGCCCGAAATAGGCCATAGACACACCCGCCAATGAACCCACCCGCCCACCGACGCACCTTGGTCTTCGCGAGGGCCTTCCCTGACGCCGTAGACTGTGGCGAAGGGGTGGTCGAGCGGCGTGAGCACCGCATACCGATGGTGCACACCGGCGGGGTACTCTATCGCCATCACGGCCGAGGCGCCCGCGACATTGCCGACAAACGGACGGTGCACTGACCGGTCGAGCCGGGCCATCACGCCAGCATCTATCTTATGTCTGCAGCCACCCACCCAGCCAATCACGCACATGACCAAGGCAGAGATTTCATCATGTGGCACTCCCTCCCTCCCTCCCTCCCTCTTTCACCCACCGACTGACCGTTGTGTATCGATAGAGGTGTGCGAGCCATACATTCGCGCCGAGATGGTGTGCATGAGGTAGGACGAGAAGGACGCCTCGACCATGTCGTCGTCCCGCACATGGTCTTGACCGTCGCCGTAGACGCTGATGCGGTGGGCCACGATGGGGTTGTGCGGGTCGGTGTGCTGCTGGAACCGGTGGTCGGCGGGGAGGGGCGGGGAGAGGCGGATCTGGAAGGCCTCCTCGTCCTTGATGGCGCGCATACCGCCATGGCCGTCGTCGAAGAGCTCGAACCGGCCCAACTCGCCAAAGTCGACCTGCCTGCCCACCATCTTCCACAGCGCCACCACACGGGGCTCCGCCAGAAACGCCTGTACACACGTGACCAATCAATAACCATCCAGCCACACGTGTGCATTCATTGCCTGGACCGCCTTGATCAGGTACCTACCTGCTTGGTGCGATGCCTCTGGAGGTCCTCCCGCGTGATGATGGCCGGCAGCTGGCAGAACCTGCACTGGCTGGCGAATCGCAGGGCGTCTGCCGCCTCGTCCCACCGCTGGTGCTCCACCAGCCACAGGCACTTGAGCTCCTCGGCAGCTTCCAGGCCGCTGTGGGGGTCACCGAACGACACCACAGTGTCCAGCCGTGTGCCGTCGTCGAGGCGCTTGGCGTGCAGCGCTCGTCTTAGTCGTCCGCTGAGGAGGCCTGGGGGGGTGTCGATGAGGAAGGGAGCCGCTGCGCGAATGCTGCCGAGGTCTATCAGGCTATACAAATCGAGGTGGTCTTCACGATGGATGAAGTCCAGGCATTGGCCACGAAACGACGGCCAAGCCCTATCGGTGCTCCTGCTCTGCGCGTTTCCCATCAGTCGGATCAAACAGGAGCTTCTTTCCTAACCTCAACAACTGAACGTCAAAAACTGAATGCCTCCCCTTTTCCCGAAAGGGGGGCTCTCTAACCCATATCTGAAGTTTGCGAGTGAATCCATCTGCCGCATAGGATGGCTGACCCAGCGTAGCATAGGATGGGCAAGTGTCACGTCTCCTAGCCACACAAGGTAAGGATAGACCGACTGTCGCAGACACTCTCACTTATCGAGCTCCCTGACTGCAGACACTCTCACCCACCCCATGAACCGCTCCATCCATCCGTCCGTCCGTCCATCCCCCCTTTCATCATGCTGACTAAAACAAGAGCCCGGGCTTCATTCACAGATAACCGACTGACTTGACTGGCTGACTGGTGCATGAGTCTCAGACAGACAGACAGACAGACAGAGACAGACAGACACAGACAGACAGACAGACAGGATACACATGGTGTCCTCCCGCTCCCCGTGCCACACACAAAGCGAACGAGAGGATGTGTGTACACACGTACATGTACGTACGTATCCAAACATACACACATGGGTATAATATACTGTACAGGTGGTCACATCGCACGTGTGGAAAGTACACACCACACCCTCGACCGATAGCGAACTTCCCTGCCGCCCGCCGCGGTGTCTGTCTTCTCTCCTGCCTTTCCGCTCCGTTGCAACAGGCGGTGACAATGCTGCCAGACACCATGGACGGCCTCGTGCAGCATTGGCCCTGCCCAGAGCAACGCAGGAGAAGGACAGAGAGACACACAGCAAACATCTGTATGCACACACGAAACGGAAAAAGAAATTCCCGACGGACATTGACAACAGCTATTGCTGTATGTTGACGTGCTTTGGGCTTGTAAGGCATTAGATTCAGACACATCAGAACACAACCAACACAACCAACATGCAGTGAGTCAGTCATATATAGGCCATGCTCGACCATCCAGCCCCTCGCCACGCCACCACACCGATGCCGCACCTGCCCTGCCTGCATACAGCACAACACAGAGTAGGCAAGTCGTGTCGTCCGTCTATCAGAACGCACCCATGAGGCAGGCGTCACTCCCACACAACCAAATCAGACGTGGACTCCAGCAGTATGTCACCTGCATGCGCACACAGGCACAGGCAGCCAGACGAGGAGGGGGCTGATGGCGTCCACGCAGCTCTCATAAATGCGTACCGTAGTCTGCCGGCGTTTTCCACGAGCGTCGCCACACGACACTGGTGCCACCGATGAAGATACTGTCTCTAAGGCGCCAAACACACCAGACCTGGCACACCAAGAATTGACGGCAGACGGCGAGGTGTGCGCGGGAAGGCATCGACTCAGAAAAACACAGAGGGGGGCAAACACACGCACAGAGAGAAATAACCGAGGCATGTGATATGCACGTCTCTCGTAGTGTTTGTGTGCCGCTAGAGAGAAGGTGAAGATGGATGTCTTTTGCCGTGCATTGTGTGCAGTCACTGCTGTGTCGGTGGTCGTCGAGGGCGCGCACAAGGCAAGAGGGAGACAAGACGGCACATGGTTAGCAGAATGTTGTGTTAGCATGTGCGTGGTGGACTCTAGCCGACCGACGAACCGTGGAGACCAATGAAGGTGTCTGGCTTCAACCGCTCACCAGCAGCGCATTCAACCACCCACCAAGTCACACACAGAACTCTGCTCGGTTCACATGCATCGACAACGCCATCCACCGTCAGATGTCAGAGTGAATCTATCAAACACGAGGGGGACAGTGTGCATCATTGTGTGGTCGTCTACGGCAAGTGTGGACGAAGAGTTTTTCGTGCCATTACGCCCGACTGGGACGCAGCGTCTCTCTGGTAGTGTTCGGTTCTGCTTATGCAAGCTACGGTCTTTCTACACTCCTGTCAGTATCACACATGCACTATACGCTTCTTTCGACATTGAGACACGCGACATCAACCCCAACACGCAACTTGATCTCCCGCCGCAGATCACATCCGATATCAGTGTGCAACGAGGGTGGACGTAAGAGACAGTCCTCACTTGACATGAACAGAGGAAGGGCGAGAGAGAGAGTGAGAGAGACGTCACAGTGAATATGATGATCAGACAGACAGACGCTGGCAGAGTAGATGAGAAAAGACGCACCTGCCCCCCACGAGCAGGCAGCGAGTAGTGTGTATGGAGAGAGACGGAATCATGAGATGTGAGCACGAGCAGCCGGCCGGCCACAGCAGCAGAAGAGTGAAGGAAGCAATCCAAATCTCTCCCGTCCCAGCCCCTCCCCCTCACTCCCCTGGCCCACATCCATCCCATTCAGACATACCCAACCAGGCAGACAGGCAGGCAGGCAGACAGGCAGAGATACGGGCAGATGAGATATTACACACAACAGCGGCAGCAGGCAGGCAGACCGTATGTACCGTCGGTAAGAACATCCATCCCATGCGACCGTCAGAACATGCACATGCACATGCCCCTCCCCTCGTGTGTCGCTTTCGAAGCCCCTCCCTAGTTTTGGGAGGGACCCAGCCAGCCAGATGCCTACCCTACGTACATAGCCCAATTGTGTATGAAAGAATACCACACGTGTGGATAGCCACTCAGAGAGCAACCGCCCCCTCTGTGGCTTCCCTGTGCGTATGTCGGGGTGTGAATTTCACGTCCGGCCGTCTCCATGCTCAATCAGCCGAACACCCGCGAACCGTGGTTCTCCAGCTGGCCTAGGCCGAAGAAAAGGTCGCGGTTGATTTTAAAAACGTCTGCAAAACACACAGACGCACACGAGTAGGGGAGGATTCAGACACACACACACACACACACGGTGTGGCAAGCGATGCAGACTCGTGTGGCCCTTTCTCACTCAACTTACCACCCTGATATGCCTTGCCAGAGTTGACAAAGAGGTTGTTGCCGATGCCCTTGGGGCCGGTGTTGTAGGCCGACTGCCCTGGAGCAGCCAAGCGGGAACTGGCCGGCAGCTTGCGTAAACGGGCGCCTTCCTTGTTCTTCGACGCATCATCAGCACCAGCAGCATCGACATCGTCATGGAGGCGGATGAAGCCGATGATGCAGTACTTGCCGTTCTCGCTGGCCATCCCCTTCTCGCCGCATCCCTTCTCGCCGCCCTTGGTGTTGGGTGTCAGCAGGCGGGCGAAGCCGCTGCCGTCCGAGAAGATCTCGAGGATGTCACCGCCCTGGAAGGTGACCTGGAGGGCGTTGACGTCCACGATGCGCTCCATCTGCTGCACCTTGTAGTAGCGCTCCATCTCATGCTTGCCGTCCGGCGTTTTGAGACCGCCCAGGTAAAAGGCGTCAACCTGCAGGGGAGTGGAGAGCGCACGCATGAAGATAGATGGCGTGCAGGGG